CGACTTCTAAAATCGTGACTGTTAGCTCCTCGATAACACGCCTTGCTATACAATTATTGATTTTAGGGCTACTATTCGTTCATTAATTTGTTTATTTATTTATTAAATAAATAGGGTGTTACACAAATCTTTTGTTGTGTATGCGGATTTGCAATCATGGTGTTTGCATTATGTGGATAAGGATTTTTTGGGGATGGTGGTTGTGTGAGAGGCAAGTGAAACTCGGGGGGTTGAATGGAGTCCCGGAGAAGCTTTCAGATGTTTGTTATTCATGGTGAGTGCTTTCGAGTTTGATTATGATTGATAGAGTTGATTGGTTGATGTTTTTGATTGGTTGATGTTTTTGGAGTGTCAGGATTTTGAGAATGGTGGATTTCAGATAGGTCGGATGATGCGGTTGATTTTTTCATACATATTTTGGTGTTGCGGGGCTTTCGCTTCTTGAGTACCCGGGATTGAAGGCAATTGATCAGACTTATGCATTGTCGGTTGATGTTATAAATATGATTTTTCTTGAGTGATATATTATTTTTTGTAATACTTTGCTTTTGATAGATGATATTTCTATTATTAATGCTAGTAACAAGAATTATGGGTCAGTTTGGTTGTATGTAACTGTCACACCCCGAAACCGATGGCGGAAACGTTCCGGGGCGGAGGACGTCATGTGTAGCATCACAACCAATGAATAATAGCAATCATAGCAACACAACCAGTACAGTGCATACTAAAATAAAAATGTTTACATCAGTTCTGAAACTTGTTTGAATTACATCATATAACTTGTATGAATATAAACATTAAACTCTTATTGCTTCAACTCTTCAAAAACCCAGCAGGTACCTGTCTACTGATTTCCTGAGAATACAAGCGGTTTAAAAGAGTATCAGCATAAAGCTGGTGAGTTCATAAGTGGTGGTTTGTAGTGAAAATCGTTGATGAGTTCGGAAAATATTTGTATAGTTTCAAGAAAATCCGATATTTTCCTTAGCGAAAATGTAGTGTTATCAGTTCTGTAATAAACCATGAATATCTGTATGTTTCCAAGTAAATCCGATATTTTCTTTAGTGAAAATGGTAGCGTTATCGATTTCGTATAAAACCATGAATGTTCGTTACTGAAAACTGTAGTGATATGAGAGAATACTACCTCATGTGACTAGCTAAAACTAATCATGAAGTGTAAGTATTTTATATGTGAAACCATTGCATAATCGGTTCTGTTTGAAAAACCCTGGCCTTAGCCAGATTACGTAGTGTGTATCAGTTCTATTTAGTAAAAATAGAACTGTTGAAGAGTGTTAAGTTGTAAACTAAAGGTGATTTATACATATTGTGAGTCGTATAACCATGCTTGATATGACTAGAGACCTTTCCAACGTTCTTCAGGCGTCGAGTTAAATGACATTTGTACATCTCAGGCGTGCCCACCTAACTGTAGCTAGCAGTCCAGATGTGGGATTGTCAGTCCCGAATAGATCTATTCACAAATCTCACGCTCTCCCTCCAGGAGACTCTGGTTATACAGTGGTAGGATTTATCCATGTACACCTAAGGGTACAGTAGTGAAGTAGCGCCTCACAGTATCGTACAATCTAGTTTACATGTAGTGTAGTAGCGTTCTACCGTAGTGAAAATCCGTATGTATACCGTATATAATGATAATTACAGTTATGAAAAACCATGATAAAGTGGTGGTGTAACTGTAAACTATTTCTGTCTTCGTGCATATGTTTAATAGTGAAAGTTTCTGTACTCGTGATGTTTAGAAAATCCCAAACTATATCGATTATAGTTTTCATGTATAGTGAATAGCGTGTCCGGAAAACTATGTAAATTTTTGTGAAAACGTCCCTTATGCTCAACACAGTACAAAAGGGTTAAAGTATGAGATTTGCATAAGTTTTGAAAACATTTATGTTTAGCTTGTATCCCCCCCTGAAAACATTAAAAATACTGAAAATGTAGGGGTATGAACTCACAGTTGTTGCGTGAAATCGTTGACTGAAAATGAAGATCCTCGAGTTGTTGAACGGCACTTAACGAAATCCTATTATCAAATATATATATATATATATATATATATATATATATATATATATATATATATATATATATATATATATATATATCTAAATTAGCGATTTCGTTAGATAACGTGTTAGAGGTACATTTGAATTCGGTTGAGGAATGTTACCGGGACTTGATCGAATCGAAGAAGGTGAGTTTTCAGTCAAAAACACCACTTAAAAGGTGTTTACGGTCGAAGAGGAGTTTACGGTTCTTGAAGGCTTGGACCGTAAACTCAAGAACAGAGTTTACGGTTTCAGAAGGCTTGGACCGTAAACTCAAGAACAGAGTTTACGGTTTCTGAAGGTTGGACCGTAAACTCAAGAACAGGGTTTACGGTTCTTGAAGGTTGGACCGTAAACTCAAGAACAGGGTTTACGGTTCTTGAAGGTGGACCGTAAACTCAAGAAAAATGGTTCTGCTTGCTGATTTCGAAGAGATAATCGTTTCCAGGCGTTCCCAAGTGACTCTAAACGTGGTTTATCGATGTTTTCCGAAGCTTGAAGGCGTTTTGAGTGTTTACGGTTAAGATTCTTAGAGAGAGAAGGAGAGAGTTTTTGGCCAGAAATGTTCTAATGAAGGTGGAGACATCGTATTTATAGGGGTGTTGTGGGGGGTCCACTCTTCACTGACCGTAAACAGGTTTACGGTCGTAAACGAGTTTACGACCGTAAACACGTTTATGGTCGTAATCTCATTTAGACCGCAAATGCTTGATTTTTCGAGATATTCGGGTTTCCGCGCGATTTTTGGTTTCAACTCGTAAATAGTTTAATTAAATATAACTAGATTATTTTCTAAACCAAAAAGTTTGACGGAAAAGTTAACAAATTCGAAATTTTATTAACGAAACTCGCGTAACGGAAACGGACAAAGTTTCGGGTTGTCACAGTAACTGAATTAATTTATTCATTATCATGTTTGGTTACGTTGGTGGAATGGAAAAAATCGGAAGGAAACTAATTAACAATGCTAAAAGTAGTCCTTTGTAACACTAAATGCATATAAATTTACATTTATTCGCATGATTTAGTTAAAATCTATTGTAATAAATAGATATTAATTAAATATACTAACTACAATTATCACAAATTACATAAAGATTGAAGTTTATATAATAATACACTTTATAAAATCCAATTCATAGAAAATACATTAGTGCCTTCTCAAGATGAACAAAAAGAATAATCGTTCACTTCAAATCATGATATCCACAACTTAAGAGATGCAAACTTATTAACATTTTCACATATATAAAACTAAGAATCATCAATGAAAGGTGTCTTTTTGCTTATCTAAGTTTGTCTTCATCATCAACCTTAAAAGAAGATTACCATCGATTTGTCAAATAGGTCAAATAGTGAAAGCATAAAGCGTATGTACAATCTTGTTACAATCATGAAGAGTTGAGGAATCAACTTTTTTTCATTTGGGCATGAAGCTTTTTTACGAATTTCCTCTTTATCTCTCAGTTGAATCTTTAAGTTGTTAGTAAAAAGATCCAAATTGTTCCTTCTTTTTCTCTTCCAGTGTATACGATTATATTATATGTGCAACATTTTTGGAAAGTTGTGTGATTTTCTAATATATAATGTTTTCTGAGATTTTTACAATTTACTCTTATAAATGAAAATCTTTTTTCCACATGTCACATGTCATTGATTTGGTCATATGTCATTTTGTGGGTATTTTCAATTAATTTTTTTTCACATGACATTTTGTGGTTTATTCCATTTTATTAAATTCCACATAATATTTAAATGTAACAATTACAATAAATGTAATAATAAATGCATATCAATTTCAATAATTGACTTTCCTTCTAATTTCAACACTTCTAAATTAAAACTTCAAAACTTTTTTTTTATTTATCTAAATTATTTGTTTAAATTTAAAAGAGAAAAAAACACTTTAATTTTAATAATTTAATATTTTGCTAATCTTTCTTATAATTTCAAACTTTTTTAAATGTTTAGAATTTTCATATATATATTTTATTTAAATGAACCCATGTAATATATAAGTCTTATACCTAGTTGTTTTTTTTATATATAATAACTATCTTTTAAAAAAAGATTGTGAATGGCTCAATATTAGTAATTAATCGATATGGGCTAGAAATTTATTGGTGGGCTCATTCTAAAAAAGATTAGGGGAGCAAAGCACCCGACACCTCTGTTCATACAGAAAAAAACAGTATTTATACACGAAAAAAGTTAACCTAAACATTGTATAAATCTGTATATTAGAAGTATAAACATATATTTTTATATCTTTTAGAAATATAAATACTTTTATTTTTATCTTTTTAAAAGTATAATATGTATTTTATGTTTTTAGAAAGTATAAATACTTATTTTTATGTTTTTAAAAAATATAAATCCTTTATTTTTGCATTTTCTAGAAGTATCATATTATTATTATTATTATTTTAAAACGGCATGTTAGTATATGTATATGATAAAATTTAAGACCTCATTGTTAGACACCTTGTTAGTCAAGTAGGATAATTCAATTTGTTCGTATTTTTATGTTTTTAGAAGTAGGATAATTCAATTTATTCGTATTTTTATGTTTTTAGAAGGATAAATACATATTTTTAGTATCAAAAAGTGTTATCTTTTTTAAGCAACAACACTGACAATAGAAATGTTATTTTTTTGACGTTCTGGAACAGAACTCTAGAATGACCGTATAATCTAAATATATGTGTATCAGATTCCGGATTGAATCTTCCACCCATCACCATCTATTCCGGCGTAGCTTTAAGTATTCCGGAATACTATATTCGGGATTTAATGGTCTTCTTTTTTTTTTTTTTTTTTCATTTTATATAAAACGGCTCGTTTATTTTGGTAAGATTTTTACTCAATTTTCCTTTTTAATTTCTACCTACCACTAATTATCAATTTTCCTTTTTACTCAAATACCCTCATTTTACCTCTCCTCCAGTCCTCCTCTACGCCTCCATCTCCAATTCTCCATCGACTCCCTCTTCTCCAACGAAACTCCCATCTCTACAACGCCTCTTCCTCCTCTGCGGTTTTACCGCCGGCTACAATTATTCTCTCAATCGATCATCAGGCTTTCCATCTTCGATCAGCAATCGAGCCCAAAGCGCCAACATCGATCTTCCAATTGATCTGCCAACATCGAGCTTTAGGATCTCCATCGATCTTCAGGCTCTAACCCTTGCAATTATCGATCTTCCAATTGTTGGCGTTATTATTAGTTTTACAGGTACGATTCTATTACAGTTTAGTATCCTTGCACACCAACTGTCTGAATAATGCATTGTGGATGCGAAACCTAGCAAATGCCAATAAACCCACCAATCATTTCTTACATACTTTGAAGGGAAAAAGACAAAATGGATTGCAAGGAAAATGGATCTCCTCAAAGTAAGTCACAAGGATTTCAACTCTTTCTGGATAACCATCTAATAAATAAGCATCTGACACCTCGCTTTTTTTAATCTAAATTCCAGGGGAGACTTCACGTGTAGTAGTTGAATTTCTCGAAGTTGCCATTACATCCATCATCTTCCTCAAAGGAATTTACCCACCCGGTTTGCAATCTTTTCAAAATCCTCCATTTTCGACTCTTTTTTTTTTTTTTTTTTTTTGAAAATTCATGTATGATACGAAACAGGTGCTTTTGAAAGGCGGAGATATATGAATCTATTGGTTCACAGGGCTCGACACCCTGTGCTTAATCGCTATATCCACGACTCCATCAATGCACTCGAGCCTTACATCCAACAGGTGCTTCTCTTTCTCCTTTCACATTTTCATCTTCTAAATTCTAATTCTTCATGTTAATAGAGTTGATCCTGTCTCATCTCAGGGGCTGGTTGAGAGAGTTGCAGTTATTTTCTTCAAGGATGATAAAATTCCAGTCGAGAGATTTATGTTCAAGATTAATATGAACCAGTCTTGCTATGATGGGGAAATGATGGAAATCGACCTAAGATCATTCTTGATGAAGCTCTCTTTATCTTTATCAGAACCTTTTTCAAACAAAAATTCTAAAACTTGTGATTGGAGGTGGGAAATTACAGCTTACTTTTGCTCTCTTCCTGAAGTTGGAGTCTGGATTTCAAGCAACACACAGCAGTGGAAACAATCTCCTGTAATAACGCCCATTAAGTCCATGAATATTCAGCCATTGTCTGTGCAGCTATATTTGGAACATCCTTCACCCGAGCCTTAAAATTGTTGATTTGTCAAGCAAAATCCAGGTGGACTTTTTTTTTTTTTTTTTTTTTTTCATGTTCTTAACCCCTCCCATTTTATATTACAACATTATACATCCATAATTTTTGGACAAACACTTATATGTACATAACACAATACCTAATCATAATCATATTGGCGTAAAATGTGTTGTATAGTGGACAAACATCGCCACTTCATTAAAAAAATTTGCGATTATCTAACTGCCATTAACGACTAAAATGAGCCAAACTTTCATGTAGAAATTCAACAAATAGAAAACCAACGTTAACCCTTAACAACATTCACAGAAAAAAAAAAACAGGTAACTCAATTGACCCAAATACCAATATACAACAAAATTTCCAACTGTAAATCTATTAAAAAAAAAAAACAACAGACGAAAGTACATCATCATTCAAAAATACACTGATGGGAATAAAAAGTGTCATTAGACATTAGACAGCAACTCAACAACACGTTCCTCTAACCTTTTGGCACCCAAACCCGGCTTCAAAACATCAGCATCACCCCAAATCCCACAAGCCTCATCACCCGACTCACCCAAACACCACCCACCAGGAACCGGTTTCCCCTGACCACGGTTCAGAAGTTGTTGGTCAATCCGGTCAAGAACCGAATCATCTTGGAGAAAAGGAGATCCAAAAGCTGACCCACTATTCATTAGATCATTGAAGTCGTTTGAGTTGAGTACTCGGGGTTCGTGTTTGGTTTCGTATGCAGAATATTGGAGATTGTGGTTTACAATGGTTTTGTTTTGATGTGGAGAGTTGCATAAAATGGTTGGAAAGTATACAGATTGAGATGAAAGACTGTTGGATAGATACATGAGAAGGGTTCTTGGTAAGTTTTCTGTTCCCAAAATGCAAAACTCTACAAACTTACGGCTCAGTATGGAAGACGGGGTACCTGTGTATAAAACTAAAATGCGAGGGACTAAATATAACATTCTAATAAGAAGAAAAATTGAAACTATGGTGTTGTAATCGGGTAGGTTTTTGAAGTACAATGCCTTAATAAAAAAATAAAAAATTAAAAGTACAATGGTGTGATAGACAGAAATAGAAGTAGGATGTTACAATACACAGATAAATGAGAGTATGTTTCTAGTTCATGATTTCTTTTCATAGGGTTAAATGCAAGATATAGCAACATACTTTCATTGATTTGTTTATTACATCACCTTACTTTAATTTCTTCCTATTACAACATTGTCACTCGAAAAATCTAACAAGTTTTAGTAATGTCATCCATTTGAAAAGCAATTCCCCCTTCTATTATTGTGTAAAATTTTAAACTATAATGTCCAATAAGAATGATTTCTTTTCATAGGGTTAAATGCAAGATATAGCAACATACTTTCATTGATTTGTTTATTACATCACCTTACTTTAATTTCTTCCTATTACAACATTGTCACTCGAAAAATCTAACAAGTTTTAGTAATGTCATCCATTTGAAAAGCAATTCCCCCTTCTATTATTGTGTAAAATTTTAAACTATAATGTCCAATAAGAAAAATATTGAAAGTGCAATGCTATATAAATGGGTAGAACTCTCAAAAGTATTATGCCTTAGTAAGAAGAAAAAAAATGAAAGTACAATGTTGCAATAGAAAAGGAATGGAAGTAAAACGCTATGATATACATAAATGGAAGTTGCCATTAGTTGCATTAAGCGGATATATTTCATGAATTTTTTATAAGGTTCAATGCTTAAAATAGTATTGTCATCCTAATATAGTAATATTACATCATTGTCCTTTGAGAAATCTACCCAATTTTGGCATTGTCATCCATATATATAAAAAACAATGTTCACTTCTATTATTAGGTAACTTTTTAAAGTAAAATCCCCTAATAACAAAATGGGAAACGACCTAAAAGGCTATTATAGCTCTCAATTTATACACATTTAGTCCTTATTGTTTTTTTCTTGTAAAATAAGCCCTTCAACTTTTTATTTTGTACACATTCAGTCTTTATGACCGGCTACTCCATTTTAAGTTCTTTGTTTGTACACATTTACTCCTTAAGGTTTTTTTGTTGCAAAATAAGTCATTGTTGTTTTTGTACACATTCAATCCTTATAACCGGTTTTCTTTATTTTGCTCATGTGTATAAAAACAATGACTTATTTTGCCAAATATATATATATATATATATATATATATATATATATATATATTAATGACTATATGTGTACAAACTGAGAACTTAACTTGAAGTAGTCGGTCATAAGGACTCTGAATGTGTACAAAAACAATCAGGACTAAACATGTACAAATTACAAAATGAGAATTATATTACCTTTTCAGGTCGTTTTCCCATATAAAAAACCATTGAAAATACAATATAGACATTTCAAAGTATATTGACTTTATAATAGAAATTACTAATAATAGAATGAAATGGAAATAGGATGCTATAACAAACAAATCAATGAAAGTACATTGTTATTTATTGATAACATACATGTGAACAATTGGTAAGCATCTGGTAATGGCCTTCTTTGAGTGCCATAAAAGATCTCACTTTGCTCATCAAGAAAAAGACCCGGGTCAACCCCACAGGTTTTAAAATTCGTGACCTGTTCATGTTAACAACGAAAAGAAGAAAAATACTTATTATTCAACTCCATAATTGCTATTCAAATATGTGTAAATATTAGGTAAAAAGTAACATATTCATACTCTTTCCATCCGATGTCTTGTGTGATTCACAAAGTTGAGATCTTTAGGCAAATATGACAGAATGTGAAGAAGATCTAAAAGTTTTTATGTCAAGAATAATCATATAACTTTTAAAGGTGATTTATGCACAAGATAAGATGATATTCGGATAGTTTGTAATAATAACTTTTGATGGTGTTGATTATTTCGCAAATTCTAGTTACTTTAGGCTGTGTTTGGCGCGTCACAGCTAGCTGATAAGCTAGCTTATTTTTCGAGCTTTTTTATGTTGTTGTGCTTGGTAAACCAAAAAGTAGCTTTTAAGCTAGCTTATAAGCTAGCTTTTTGAAAAGCTACTTAGACTAGCTTTTTAGGAGCTTTTTTAAAGTTTTCCAAATACACCCCTTAATTAATTATAGAAACACATACTCCTACATGTCATTTTATGTAATTTTATATATTTCAGCTAGCTTTTCAGCTAGTTTTACCAAACGTTATTTTTTATCAGCTAGCTTTTCAGCTATCAGCTAGCTTTTTATTTAACAGCTATCTTTTCATCTATCAGCTAGCTTTTCAGCTAACAGCTAGCTTTTCAGCTAGTACGCCAAACATAGCCTTAGTAATCAACAGATAAAATACGGGTATATAAGTAATTTTACTCTACTTTCTGTCAGTTCCCTATTTTTGAATATAAGCATATTCAAAAGTAGTTTAGCAAAAAAACAAGATATATTCTAAAAAACGAAATTGAAATCAATTCAAGATCGATACTCCCATGAATCTAGTAAGGTTGCATAATTCGCAACCTTCTCATCTGTTAGTTTCTTCTTGTCACTTGTAACAATTCTCAATATAGTCTTGCCTCGCAAGAAATTCTTCATAACATAACTCCAATAGACATAGTTCTTGCCATCGAGTTGGATACTAATGAACCGAAGAGAATCATATCTCGGAGCCATTTCCAATATCAGTCAAACGAGAATAACCAAAACAACAGTAAATATGAATATCAGAAGCAATAATCAAGATCTCGAAATCAGAAAAGCCAATAGACGAAACAAAACCCTCGAAATCGACGAAACAAAAAAATCAAATTAAACAGAATACAAAAATGAGTAAGAAAACCATACCCAAAATTGCAAAAATAACCAAAACAACAGTAAATACGAATAACAGCAGCAACAATCAAGATTTCAAAATCAGCAAAGCCAACAGACGAAACAAAACCCTCGAAATCGACGAAACGAACAAATCAAATCAAATGGAATATAGAAACGAGCACGAAAGCCAACAGACGAAACCATACCCAATTTCGATCCGCACAACGCCGTGCCTGCTACAACTCGCCCCCAAAAACAAAAATACAGATGATTAACTGAGCTTTGATACCATGTAAACTAACAAGACATATAATTGCTAGGGTTTCATATTATTATCAAGTGAGAAGTACAAGATACAATGAAAGGAAAAGACATAATATATAGACTAACTAATTAAAGTTTTCTAGCTAATGGGCCAACATAAAACCCAATACAAAATAAAGCCCAAAATTTTATTAGGCTAACAATTTCATGGGTCATGAGTTGCTAACACGAATTCGGCGGCAACATAGGACACGACCCCCACCTCCTTTACACCTGAAGCGCAATCCAAATCTTATCACTCTTCAAAAAAACACAAATAATCGACATCTCCAAAGTATCAACCTATATTTCCACCTTACAAAACAAAGCGACTCATTTTCAGGCGACAAATAGGGCGAAATCGATACGGTATTCTATTACCTCCCGATATGTTCACTTTTACTTTTAAAAATTTTAGACAAAATAAACGTGGAAAAGGCGGCTGAATACATAATATCTTGTAAGAATATAGAAGGGTTCGCCATTGTACGCCTGTCACCAAGTCACATTCGGGGCAAATCTTTTGTTTGTAGGCGCATTTGCAATCATGGGGTGTTTGCATTATGTGGATACGGATTTGTTGGGGGTGGTGGTTGTGTGAGAGGCAAGTGAAACCCGGGGGGTTGAATGGAGTCCCAGAGAAGCTTTCAGATGTTTGTTATTCATGGTGAGTGCTTTTGAGTTTGATTATGATTGATAGAGTTAATTGGTTGATGTTTTTGATTGGTTGATGTTTTTGGAGTGTCGGGATTTTGAGAATGGTGGATTTCGGATAGGTCGGATGATGCGGTTGATATTTTTCATACGTATTTTGGTGTTGTGGGGCTTTCGCTTCTTGAGTACCCGGGATTGAAGGCAATTGATTAGACTTATGCGTTATCGATTGATGTTATAAATATGATTTTTCTTGAGTGATATATTAATTTTTGTAATACTTTGCTTTTGATAGATGATATTTCTATTATTAATGCTAGTAACAAGAATTATGGGTCAGTTTGGTTGTATGTAACTGGATTAATTTATTCATTATCATGTTTGGTTATGTTGTTGGAATGGAAAAAATAAGAAGGAAACTAATTAACAATGCCAAAAGTAGTCCTTTGTAACACAAAATGCATATAAATTTACATTTATTCGCATGATTTAGTTAAAATCTATTGTAATAAATGGATATTAATTAAATATACTAACTACAATTATCACAAATTACATAAAGATTGAAGTTTATATAATAATACACTTTATAAAATCCAGTTCTTAGAAAATATATTAGTGCCTTCTCAAGATGAACAAAAAGAATAATCGTTCACTTCAAATCATGATATCGACAACTTAAGAGATGCAAACTTATTAACATTTTCACATATATAAAACTAAGAACCATCAATGAAGGGTGTCTTTTTGCTTATCTAAGTTTGTCTTCATCATTAACATTTTCATTTGGGCATTGAGCTTTTTTACGAAGTTCCTTTTTATCTCTCAGTTGAATCTTTAACTTGTTAGTAAAAAGATCCAAATTGTTCCTTCTTTTTCTCTTTCAATGTATACGATTATATGTGCAAAATTTTTGGAAAGTTGTCCGATTTTCTAATATATAATGTTTTCTGAGATTTTTACAATCTACTCTAATAAATGAAAATCTTTTTGCCACATGTCACATTTTAATTGATTTGGTCACATGTCATTTTGTGGTTACTTTCAATTAATTTTTTCCACATGACATTTTGTGGTTTATTCCATTTTATTAAACTTCACATAATATTTAAATGTAATAATTACAGTAAATGTAATAATAAATGCATATCAATTTCAACAATTGACTTTCTTTCTAATTTCAACATTTCTAAATTAAAACTTCATTAATTTGTTTTTTTTATTTATCTAAATTATTTGTTTAAATTTAAAAGAGAAAAAAAACACTTTAATTTTAATAATTCAATATTTTGCTAATTTTTCTTATAAATTCAAACTCTTTCAAATGCTTAGAATTTTCATATATATATTTTCTTTAAATGAACCAATGTAATATATTAGTCTTACACCTAGTTGTTTTTCATATATAATAACTGTCTTTGAAAAAAGGATTGTGAGGGGCTCAATATTAGTAATTAATCGATATAAGTAATTAATCGATATAGGCTAGAAATTTATTTGTGGGCTCATTCTAAAAGAGATTACGGGAGCAAAGCATATAGAAAAAAAAGTATTTATACACGAAAAAAGTTAACCTAAACATTGTATAAATATGTTTATTAGAAGTATAAACATATATTTTTATATCTTTTAGAAATATAAATACTTTTATTTTTATCTTTTTAAAAGTATAATATGTATTTTATGTTTTTAGAAAGTATAAATACTTATTTTTATGTTTTTTAAAAATATAAATCCTTTGTTTTTGCCTTTTTTAGAAGTATCGTATTTTATTATAATAATAATAATTATTATTATTATTATTATTTTAGAACGGCAGGTTAATATATGCCTATGATAAATCCTAAAATCTCATTGTTAGACACCTTGTTAGTCAAGTAGGCTAGCCTTAATTTGTTCGTATTTTTATGTTCTAAAAAGATAAATACATATTTTAGTATCAAAAAGTTGTATCTTGTTTAAGCAACAACAATGACAATAGAAAAGTTGTATCTTGTTTCAGTCTAGAATGTATGTGTATCTGGATTGAATCTTCCACCAATCACCGTTTATTCCGGCATGACTTTAAGTACCCTGGAATACTATATTCCGGATTTAATGTTTTTTTTATTATTATTATCATTTTATATAAAACGACTCGTTTATTTTGGTAAGTTTTTTTTAGAGGTGGCAAATCGTGCTATCGTTTCGTGTTTCTGTCTAACACGACACGACAATGTTTTATGTAACACGAACACGACACGACACGATGTCGTGTTTTTTGTAACTAACACGAAAACGAACGAATTACAAAACGACAAACATGACATGACACGAAAAATATAACATTTACTAAAAACTAGTTTATTTAATGAATATTTTATCAAATATAACACGAAAAACACGAAAAACACGATAAAGAACTACTAAGAGGGTGTTTGGCTTAGCTTTTGTGGGGCAAAAGTCCTTTTTGTAAAAGGACTTTTTACAAAAGTTGTTTTTTAAAATGTGTTTGGATTAGCTTTTGAAGGGAAAAAATCAAAAATTAAAGTGTTTGGTTTAATTTTTACATGCAAAATGACTAAAAATGACATGTTTACATATTTATTGGGGGTAGATGGAGATATAAAAGTAATTTTAATGTTTAACACTGTTGAAAAGTTGGAAAAGTCATGATTTCGTGACTTTTCAAAAAGACCAAATTTATTCTATTGGAAAAGTCATTATCATCTTCCCAAATATCTTTTTGACTTTTTCTAAAAAAAAAATCAAAAGTCATTTTAGAAGTTAAACCAAACACCCTCTAAATCGTGTCAATTTCGTGTCAAATTTTGAACACGAACACGACACGACACGATGTCGTGTTTTTTACTGTTAACACGAACACGACACGAACACGAATTCAAATTTCAGTTTCGTCCTAATTTCGTTTCGTTTCGTGTATTTTTGTCGCGTCGTGTCATAAATTGCCACCCCTAGTTTTTTTTACTCAATTTTCCTTTTTAATTTCTACTTACCACTAATTATCAGTTTAAGTAAAAATAGTAAAATACCCTCATTTTAATCCTCCTCTACGCCTCCATCTCCAATCTCCATCGACTCCCTCTTCTCCAACGAAACTCCCATCTCTACAACGCCTCTTCCTCCTCTGCCATTTTACCGCCGGGCTACAATTATTCTCTCAATCGATCATCAGGTTTTCCATCTTCGATCAGCAATCGAGCCCAAAAGTCCAACATCGATCTTCCAATTTCTCGATCTGCCAACATCGAGCTTTAGGATCTCGATCGATCTTCAGGCTCTAACCCTTGCAATTATCGATCTTCCAATTTCTCGGTTTAATTGTTGGCGTTATTATTAGTTTTACAGGTACGATTCTATTACAGTTTAGTATCCTTGCACACCAGCTGTTTGATTATATGCTAATAAGAGTTTCTGGTCTGGATTTCTCGATAATTGGTCAAATGAAGATTATGTGTTTGATTATATAACTACTTGCTATGTAACCAATGGTTTAGGTTAGTTGAAATAACCCACTTCGTGTAATATGCAAGTTTCTGAGAATCTTAATAAACGACTTCAATTAAGTTTAAAAAATGGAATTAGTAAAAAACTAACATAAATCATTAAGGATTTCAGGAAGGAGGAGAATTAAAGCATTGGGAGAAATACTGAATCATTGTTATGGAAGTGAAACTACAAATAAACAGTGATTTATAATTTCAATTCGTAAAGTTCTTATTCAATAAACAGTCATTGTTATTCAACATCACTTTTAAGAGAAACAACCTTTGTGCATACAACACATAATACTTGTTTCTTACTTAGTTACTACTTGTTTCTATTTACGAATTGTTTTTTAGTTTTTTACAAAAATAATCTTTGAATGTTTCCCAGAGTATTTTTCCTTTCATGAGTCCTGTTACATTACTTTCTTCTATATAAAATATTTTTTAATACTAATTGTATCATATCACAGAATGGGACAACTAGCAGCCGAAAAACACACAAAATACATCTTACAAATCGAAAAGAAAAAAGACGACATCGAATCCGCCCTAACAGAACACCTCCGAATCAACGGGGCCTACTGGGGTCTAACCACCTTGGACATCCTAGGAAACCTCAAAGCCGTCGAACAAGAAGCCGTCATTTCATGGGTCATGAGTTGCCAACACGAATCCGGCGGCTTCGGCGGCAACATAGGACACGACCCCCACCTCCTCTACACCCTCAGCGCAATCCAAATCCTCTCTCTCTTCAACAAAACACAAATCCTTAACATCCCCAAAGTCTCAACCTACATATCCACCTTACAAAACAAAGACGGCTCGTTTTCAGGCGACAAATGGGGAGAAATCGATACGCGATTCTCTTACCTCGCGATCTGTTCGCTTTCACTTTTGAAAAGTTTGGACAAAATAAACGTGGAAAAGGCCGTGGAATATATAATATCTTGTAAGAATCTAGACGGGGGGTTCGGGTGTACACCTGGCGCTGAGTCACACTCGGGGCAAATTTTTTGTTGTGTAGGCGCGCTTGCGATCACGGGGTGTTTGCATTATGTGGATAAGGATTTGTTGGGGTGGTGGTTGTGTGAGAGGCAAGTGAAATCCGGGGGGTTGAATGGAAGGCCGGAGAAGCTTCCGGATGTTTGTTATTCGTGGTGGGTGCTTTCGAGTTTGATTATGATTGATAGAGTTGATTGGATTGATAAAGAGAAGTTAGTTAAGTTTATTTTGGAGTGTCAGGATTTTGAGAATGGTGGGATTTCGGATAGGCCGGATGATGCAGTTGATGTTTTTCATACGTATTTTGGTGTTGCGGGGCTTTCGCTTCTTGAATACCCGGGGTTGAAAGCGATTGATCCCGCGTATGCTTTGCCTGTTGATGTTATAAATAGGCTTTTTCTCAAGTGATGGGTTGTATTATTTTTAATTGGTGATTTGATGATTAATAATTGTGAGCTAGTTTTGTTTTTGTACTTAGAAACAAAAGGGTGTTTTTGTTGTTTGACAAACTATTGAATGATGCATGTAGTTTTCTTATGTATGCAATCTTTTGATATTTTAAATTCCATACACATATATTTACAGGCTTGTGCGGGAAGGTATATGGAAAGAGTTTTATTGATACGTTTTAGTGGGAAGGCCGCGTAGAGAAATTAGTTGCACCGAGGGAATGGGTTGAGCACTATATTATTACTTTCTTATTTGATAGACATTCTAGAAAACTTTTTTTTTTCTTTCTTCAAGTAACAAAATTGATGTTAGGTCTGATTACTGCTGTAAAGGGGAATCATCATGAAATACATCAAAACCCTTTTGTTCTCTCTAAACTCTTCTGTTAATCATGAGTTCCTGTTGAGAATGCGCATTGATGGTATGAGAGCAATTATCCTTGTGTTGTGTTTTAAGCTAAAAGAATGGATAATGATTTGCATCCCACATCGGTTGAAGAACAAAAGCTTAAGAGGACTCCATTCTTATAAAAGAAGTCCAAGACTTTGGTTTTAAAGCACCCCAACCAAAATATATTTGAGTTGTTTGCTTCTTTCTTTTCTTCTCTTGTTTTATAGTGTAGAAACTAGAAAGTGTTAGTCAAAACTGTGGAAAGTATGAGTGTAATTTGGAAAGGCCTGAAAGATTAGTCTATGAGATTGTAACAATTTATCATATAGTGGATCTTTCTTTTTGATGACATGTATTTTTTCACCGATTTTGGAGTTTTCTATGTATATTCTTTTGTCAAGTTATTTTTCTATTATTGTCTTTGGAAGGATTTTGGGATCTTTGAGGCCATTATCTCAACACGTTAGCCATCGTTTCGCACGCACTCCATGACGAAGAATAGTGAAGGCAACTTAGTAAGCAAAATCAGTAAGGTTGGGAAAATTACCCCATTCCATCATCATGACAATTTGCGGTATTACTAAAAAAATAGTTTGAGTGATTTTAGGGGTATGTTTGAAGCTATGGAATCAACACATCATGTCTATAGTTGAGAATGCCAAGGAAATTGCATACATAAATGATTTAATAGCAAGAGAAATGAAGCAACTAATTAATGAACCACAAAGTGGAGAGGATGCTAACAAGAGAAAGGATATTAGTACAAGGGTAGAAGGATAAATTACTCCTCTCGTTTAATAAATGGGGAACTCCTTAAGTTTGGAGGTGACAAGCTAGATTCATGGCTATACAAAGTGGAACAATTCTTCCACTTGGATCAAGTGTCGCATACAACTAGAGTCAAGTTAGCAACAATCAATATTGAGAGGAGCATTGCAATGACACCAAGCCTAAATTGAAAACAGAGGTCTAAAAGCAACATTATCTTGGTTAGAGTATTTAGACGTATTGAAAAACCGATTTGGTCGGTTATTAATTGAACCAATGTCTGAATTGAAGAACCTTAGACAATCTTCAACAGTTGAAGAGTAACATGATGCTTTCGATGTCATTTTAAATAAATTACAACTGCCTCCTGAATATGCTCTAAGTTGTATCATAGCGGGATTGGAAAATGAGATTCAGCTACAAGTTTGAATATTTAATCCGACCTCAATCCAACAAGTGAATTTCTATGAAAAATTACAAGAAGCCACACTCAATTTTAAGTGGTCCAAATTTGCTCCCAAATTAGCTTTACTACCTACACCTATCAGATTATTAGCCAAATCGACACCTCATAATATAAATGTATTAAATAAAAATGTGATAAAGCCATGGAATCAAACTGTAGCAACACCTAATAATAATAGATAAACACTATCATCTGTTGAGTTTGAAGATAAGAAAGTGAAAGGCTTGTTCTACTTTTGTAATGAAAGATACGGACCGGTCATCATTTAAAAAAAAACCTAATTTTATTGCATTTAATGGAAGAGATAGAAGAGGAAGAATATTAAGTGGTTAACGAATGTACTCAGATTTCAGTAAATACTATGGCTGGAACAGATGTGTACCAAGCATCGAGGGTTACCAGTTATTATGATATGAGGAGTTTACAAATACTGATGATACAGGAAGCAATCATAACTTTATTGATTCTAAATTAGCCTATAAATTATGGTGTAATCTTTCAACATGCTCCTATATGCGTGTTAAGGTTGTTGGAGGGGTGCGTATTATATGTGATCAAACTGTGAAGGGGTTTAACTGGAAGATGAAAGGGTTAACCTTTTTAACATATGTCAATATTACAAACATTAAAAGGAAATGATTTAGTTTTGGGAGTTCAATGGTTTACAACCTTGGGCATTATCAAACATGACTATGCCAATAACATTATATAATTTCAAGCTCAAGGGAAAAGAATTGTGCTTTACGGTGGCTGCAAAAAGAAACCGAAAACCATATGACTTGAAAAAGTAGACAAGGCTATACAATAAGGAGGAGAGATTTCAGTGTTTTAGGTTATGTATATTCAAGGTGAAGAACTACAAAATAACATTAATATGCCTGAAGACCAAAATCCAAGAGATTCCCTAGGAGCTACAACGTTTACTAGACCAACATGAAGGAGTATTCCAGTAACCTTCATACTTACCTCCCTTTAGAGGTACCTTCGAACACATAATAAATTTAAAATAGGGAATTAATAACATTAACATTCGTCTTTATAACTAATATCTACTACAAAATATGTAATTGAATATCTGACTAATGAACTTATGGAACAAGAAGTTATACAGACTAATAATACTTCATTTGTGTCCCACTATTGTCCAAGTAAGAACAAAGTAGGGGATGGAGAATGTTTGTTGATTAATGGGCTTTAAATGAAGCCACTATTCCAAATAGGTTTTTACTACCACCTGTGGAATACTTGTTGCATGAGTTCTATGGAACCAAATACTTTTCTAAGTTGTATTTAAGGTTGGGATATTACCCAATAAGAGTGAATCCTAATGATGTGTATAAAACGACTTTTAAAACTCATTATGGGCATTACAAATTCTTTGTAATGCCCTTTGGCCTCACAAATGCTCCATCTACCTTCCAATCCTTCAAGAATGATGTATTTAAACCATTTTTGAGAAAATTTGTATTAGTATAGTCAAAACTAGTATGGTCATTTGTGACATTTAAGGTTGGTATTAGAAACCTTGAAGAACAATACCTTAATTGCTAAACGTAGAAATTTTGTGTTTCGACCTACCTATATTAAGTACTTGAGACATTTTATACCAGTGGAAAGAGTAGTTACTGACCCGAGCAATAATAAAGCAATACAAGAATGGCTAATTCCAACAACCTCAAACAACTTATATGATTTTTGGGATTAATCGGATACTATTGAAGACCATGGAAAGATTGCAAAAAGCCTTACCCAACTGCTTAAAAAGGATTTTAAATGGAATGATGATGCTACAACAACTTTTGAAAAGTTAAAGCATGCTATGGTGAAACCTCCAGTTTTGGCCTCACCTGATCTTAGTTCACCTTTCATTAGAGAGACATAGAGAGTGATGCATGTGGCTATGGTATTGGGCCAATACGGATGCAAAACGACCACCCGATAACCTTCATCAACAAATCATCACCAAGACACTTATCAATTTTAACTTATAAGAGAGAACTCTTAGCTATCATCGATGCTGACGAAAGTTGACATCGGTACTTGAATAAAAAATATTTTGTAGTTCCAACTGACCAACAAAGTTTGAAACAATTATGTAACAACTTAGAAAATATTTAGTGATACAGTGTAATAAAATTAATTTTGTATGTAAAAAATATAAAATAGTCCTAAATAATGATTATGTAAAATATTAAGTGCTTAATGGTAAACTGTTGTTTTATATGTTTAATGTAACATCCCAAAATTACTAGGAACATTTTTATTTTTGAAGTACTAAAATCCATTCCATAACATCATAAGTAAAATAATCCAAAACTTGAGTTTATCGTTTTTATAAAAACATTACAGTAATCTCGAAATCATAAAGTGCGGATAGGCCCGACCCAGTACGTGGGCGAGTTGGGCTTTGGCCCAGGGCAGCAAAAATAGAGGGGCATAAATCTAGTCCAATAAGTAATAGTATATATGTGACTGTGGCACAAAGTATAATCCAATAAGTGGTCTGGTTCACCGGTGTTTGCGTGCCTCGTGCGTCTGGGAGGCAATAATCAAAGCATTTTTCTTTTTGTTAGGGCGGATTCGATGTCGTCTTTTTCTTTTTGATTTGTAAGATGTATTTCGTGTGTTTTTCGGTTGCTAGCTGTCCCATTTTGTGACACACAATTAGTATTAAAGAATATTTTATGAAGATGAAAGTAGTGTAACAGGACTCATGAAACCAAAAATAATCTGGAAAATATTCAACAATTTTTTATGAAACATTCAAATATTATTTTTAAAATGTTAACTCCAAAACCACAACTCATTTTATTAGTATTATTAAAAATATTCTTTGGGTGCTTAAAAACCAAACAAATTTTGTTCAAACTATAGTGGCTTTTATAGATTTTAAACCTAAAATTCTGACAGTTTCTTCTCTTCTCAGGTAACCTTTGCCATTTTTTTTTGGCCCCTAAGGTAATTACGGTTTGGTAGAGTGGAGCTGAACTGGACTCAACAAATAATTTGTATAACGTTTGGTAAGACTAAAACAGAACATAACAAGTTGTGTGAAACTGTTTGGTAACAATAAAACCGGAAAGAACTTGATATAAACAATCCATATTATCCTTTTGCAAAAATGTTAATAATAACTGGGGAAATGGACTTAATAAGGTAATTAAATTTTCAGTTTGTTCACATCTGGGTAACTATCTTTTTTTTGTACACATCTAGGTAAAAAACTTTTTGGAAGTGTTCACATATGACCATTATGACCGACTGTAGCCGGTTACATCCGGTCGTAACCGGTCATAATGGTCATATGTGAACACTTGCAAAAAGTTCGTTACCTAGATGTGTATAAAAAAAAAGATAGTTACCCAGATGTGAACAAACCGTAAAGGTAAAAGTAAATTACACAAATGGTCCCTATAGTTTGGGTAATTTGTGCGTTTGGTCCCTAACTTAATTTTTAACTTG